CTGTGAAGATTCTAAAATTGAGGCGTTGCCTAACTGGAAGCCAATGTAACTCAGTGTGCGCTGGCATGATAGGTGAACGGCAACCGGCGCAGGTTAGAATTCAAGAAACAGAGTTTTAGGTGACCTCAAGTTGATAGAGAGCTGAATGTGAGAAGTTGATCAGGAATGTGTTAAAACTGTTATGTTTAGAGTTGGCAAAAGGATCAGTGTACCAGCAACAGGCAAGACTTTGGGCAGACAGAAACAGACAACATTTTCTGGCGCAGATCTGATTGGATGTTTATCTTGGTGTCAAATACAGCACCACAGTTGTGTACAGTCTGGTTCAGCATCAGATATTTGCCAGAGAGAGTTTGTGGTTGAAGCAATGTAGCATCTGGCAGGGTCCAATTAAATGGTTTCAGCTTTACAATTGTCAGTTGCAGGGAATTCTGTTTTATACTGCAATGTACATCAGACAAGCAACGTGACAACATACAGACAGCACAGGGCTCATGAAAGGCAGTGGCAAGGTAGTGCTAAGTGTCATCATTGTACTTGGAAATATGAAATTAGAGTTATTGTTGAAAAGTAAGTTAAAGAGGGCTGCAATGAAATCTCAACATTGTTAGTTATAGGATTTTCAGGGAGAATACAGTGGGATTAGAAAAGGAGGGAGGAGTTGTAAGATTGGTCAAGGAAACAAACATATAGAGATGTTTATAGTGAGAAGTGATGATAGGCTAAAAGGAGCATCAAATGAAACTACACAAGTTGAACTGAGGAACAAAAATAAGCAATAATTACACTGCTGAGGTGATACTACAGATCCCAAAATAGTCAGAGGTGGAAGAGCAAATCAGCAAGCAAATTGCTGAGAAGTGAAGGAACAAAAAGGATTGTATTGGCAGGGAATTTCAACCATCCTCACGTTAACCAGAATAAATTGGACACTGCTTCATTTTCAGAATGCTTATCAACGAGGAGAATTCAAGAGAGATGGTTGTGAGATAAAGCTGGTTACCATTAATGCTCATTTAAAAACTTCTCATGTGCTTTCAGATGATGTTACCAAAAAGTAGACAAGAAATACAGATGAGAAATAAGAGCTGGCCATAGTTAGATTCTTTGGGATGCAACAGGTAGTGAATGGTACAGGAGCTGGAAGAGAAATCATTGCAAGCTATAGTCTGAATATGATTAGATAGCAAAGTCATTCGGATGAATGATAGTAGAGGAGGATCATTTGGTTAATTCTGTCAAAGGCTTCAGACAGGTCAAGAGGATGAGGAGGGATAGTTTATTGATGTCACAATCAGATCAGATGCAGTTGAGTCTTTCATAAAAGCTTATTCTGTACTGTGGCAGATACAAATCAGGTGATTTGAGGAATTCAAACAAGGATTTTTGCAAAAGAAGATACACCAACATGCTCAAAGACTTTGGACAGGAAAAGAAGTTTGGACATATTGTGGCAGATGGTAGCTTTCAAGAATAATGAGGTCAGGGGTTGTTTTTGAGGAGAGGGTGATGATAGCAGATTTGAAAGGAGTGAAGAACAGCACTTCCAGCCACATACAGGCTATTTTCTCCAGCAAGCTTTTATTTGTCAGTAGCTTGCTACGTTAGCAAAAATAACTGCATTCAGAAAATTCTATCCTAACTCTGCCTGTCAATACTGAGCAGAACAGGTAGCCTATCCCAGCTCAACACAAATTCACATTTGTCATATGAAGCTGATTTAAGCAGAGGAGCTGGAAAATCAAACATTTTTGTTACACATGCCTTCATGATTCTGTACAATTGAGGAACAAAAAAAGTCACACCTTTTTAATCATGAAGAAAACTGTAACATCAGTACCAAAAATTAAAGCATAGGGTATAATCATCGAACACATCCCTTTGGTGGAAACTTTAGGCCGATGAGGCTTACATCAGTGGTAGGGAATTTATTGGACAAGATTCTTAGGGACAGGATTAACTTGCTTTTTGAGAAGAATGGACTTATTAGAGCTGGTCAGCATGGCTTTATGCAGGGGAGGTCTTGTCTCAAACCTGATGGAGTTTTTTTTTTGAGGAAGTGACAAAGATGATTAATGAGGGTAGGACAGTGGATGGTGTCAAAAGGACTTTACTAAAGCATTTGACAAGGTCCTTCACAGTAGGCTGATCCAGAAGATCAAATCGCATGGAATCCATGGGGAGTTGTTAAGTGGATACAAAATTGGCTTAGTCAGAGGGTGGATACGGAGGGGTGTGTATCTGACTGGAGACCTGTGTAGCTTTCTGCAATAATCAGTGCTGGGGTCTCTGATGTTTGTAATATATGAATGACTTAGATGAAAATGTCGGAAAGCTGATTATTAAGTTTGTAGATGACAAAAATTGATGGAGTTGTGGAGGGTGAGGAAGGATATCAAAAGAAGCAGCAGGATACAGATCGGCTGGAAAGTTGGATTGAGAAGTGACAGTTGGAGTTTAATCCAGACAAGTGTGAGGTGGTGCATCTTGGGAGGTCAAATGCAAGATGAAAGTATACTGTAAATGTCTGCACATTAGTAATAAGGACCTTGGGGTGCAAGTCCATAGCTCCCTGAAAGTGACAACACAAGTGGATAATATGGTAAGGAAGGAATATGGCATGTTTGTCTTCATCGATTGGGGTGTTGAGTAGAAAATTTAGCAAGTCATGCTGCAACCATATAAGATTTTAGTTATTATTGCAAAGTTGGGTAGAGTGCTTGTGGATTGGGAGGCCGCAAGTTAGAATTTGGCATTTGTAAGATGTTAAGGGGCAAAACATTGCGTGGTCCCTTTAAAAGATGATGTGCTTTTTCTACGTTTAGAGATATAAAATGGATGTCTTTGAGCAGCAGTTGAAAGTTTTCAAGTACACAGACAGCACCTTAATTGAAACATTCGTATTGAAAGGCTGTGCTGTTAGCAGTCCAAGCAACAGTTTGGGATACCAAGACAACAAGTTTTTGAATTTAGCCAATCAATTTGAACCAGGCACTTAGATACCAAAAAAAAACAACTGAATTAAAAAATTATGGTTTTGACAACATAGGAGCATTCCTATTGTAAGAAATTGAGATGTCATCAAGGGTATGAAAGAAGGGGCAATTGGACAAATAGCAGAGAGCTAACTGCCATGAGACACAGCTAACTCCCATCCACCAGAGCTAAAAGCCCTCAGCTCTCAAGAGAGAAACGCTGGCTCAGAGCCTCTATGTCTTAGAGAAAGCACCATCTAAATTTCAAACGTACCAACGGCACAACTAGTTAATATTCCCGAGAGAAGAATCAACGGAGAAGGTGTTCCTGACAGAACATTCGACACAGAAGGCACAGAATATTCTGAAAGACATAACCTGGCTGCAATTTTGAGAGACTAAATTCTATTTTTTTTTTAATAAATAAGTGGGACTTGTTATTTGTTAAAACAGGATACCATTAGAATCTTGCTTTATTTGGGAACAGTCAGTAGTTAGAAGGGGTTTATTTGGTTTGTTAACAGTTTAGTTAATTTGTTCACTGTTACAGTTAGATAAATAAATTGTTATTTGTTGATTTTAAAATGAGTGTCAGGCATTTATTTTATTTAATCACTAGAAGCTGCTGAAAAGCAGGCTACACCACTTTTCACACTCCTTTAATAGATTATAAGGCGAGGTGCTCCTCTTTGGGTATTACAGTTTTAGTTCTCAGGCAGTGGGGAGGGTCAACATCTGCTTTATAACATTAGGCCACATTTGGATTTCTGTGCACAGTTCTGGTCACCACACTATAGCCAGGATGGCATTGGAGAAGGTGCAGAAGAGGTTTACCAGAATGTTGCCTGGATTGAAGTGTAATAGCTATTAAAAGAGAAGCTCGACAAACTTGGACTGCCTTCAGTAGAGTGTCAGAGGCTGAGGGATGACCTGATAGAAGTATATAAAATTATGAGACACACGTATGGAGTGGATAGTTCAAGTCTGTTTCCCCGGGTGGAAATGTCAAATACAATGGGGCATTGGTTTAAGGTGAGAGGGGACAATTTTAAGGGAGATGTGAGAGGCAAGTTATTTATATAGAGGGTTGTAGGAGCCTGGAATGCATTGCCAGGGGAGGTGTGTAGAAGCAGATACGGTAGCAATGTTTAAGAGGCATTTAGACAGACATATGAACAGGCAGAGAATACAGGGATACAAACCAAAATGGATTAGTACAGAATAGCATCACAGTCAACACAGACATGGTGGGCCGAAGGGCCTGTTCCTGATCTGTACCATTCTATGTTCTCTGACTGTTATCTAGGACTATACATTTAAAAGGAAAATAAATTCATAAAATGTCTATTTGTAATTATATGCCTTATTAAACTATATAATTTCAAAGAACAGGCTAAAATATTGAGTACAGTACTTAGTTCTCTCGAAGACCACAGAAGTAACAATTCCATTTTCAACTTTAAAGTTAACAGAATAGTTGCACTGCAGTTTTAATTTTATAAAAAGACAGACTGCACAAGGAAATTTTACCTAGAGTGTGTTTTTTGGTTGAATGAACGAATTAGATGTTTTCTAAGAGTAGTTGTTCTACATTCAATCTGGACTAGTAAACAACATTAGAAAAAAAAACCAGAACAGTTTTGAAAAAATTGTCAACACAAAATATTGTTGCTGTAACCACAGATGCTGCCAGACCTGCTGAGCATTTCCACCATTTTGTATATTTACAGATTTTTAGGTTGCAATATACTGACCACTACGTTCTACTGCACAGTCACAATCACATATTCTGCAGTTAGTGCAATGGCAGTAAAGTTATCTTCCATTAATGCTATTTAGAAAGAAAAATGTCAAAAAACAAATATTTTTATAGGCAAACATTACCATGTGAATCAAAAGTGTGGTAATTGTCTGAAGCCATCCATTCATTTTACTTTTCTTTAATGACATGGGCTGCAGCTATGATATTTAAACAAAACATATATTATAAAAGGAGTAAAAGATGCACAAGAGAATATCCTGTACCTGGCGAATATCTGGTCTAAGAGAGCTGTTGGAACTCCGGCTTGGACTCAATAACTTCTGTGGCACTGCAATGCTTTGCTCATCGCTGTTCATGATGATATTAGTTTGGGTGTCCTCTAGAACAACCAAGTCAGTTTTAAGCAATTCAAGCAATTAGTCTCAGTTCCTTTCATCCAACAGCAATCAAGTGAAGAGAAGTTCAGTTTCTACAACTTTTATCATCATTTCATCCTATAAAACAATGAACAGGTTGCACAAATTCAGATTATGTTCAAAAGTGTACCAAAAAATACACACTTAATTAGTAAGTTACCTTTCCAAGCTGCTCATCAGTAGTATTTCAGCAACTGATATTTTCAAACCTATTTTACATCCATTCAACCGCTGTAGCTCATACTATGGAATTAATTAGGTTTGTATTATGAGTCAGCCTGACCTAAGTTTGAAGTACACAGAACCCCCCTGTGTACTTCATTCCCAAGAGCATGAATAACCCTATCCTTTTACATAGTTACATCAAACATGAAGGAAGTTGCTTGGTTTGTAGCAGAAGACATACTAAAGGCCCGAATCCCCATAACACTAGAATTAAACCTCGAGCTGTAGTGGGATTGCAAGTCATTTGAACCAGCTAGAACAAATAAAGTACCATATTACAACATCAAAATGAACATCCACTTATCATCTGAAAATAGATTTTTTTTCGGAGATTCCAATCTCACTGCATTGAGATTGATTTTGCTAGTTAAGGGCACGTAACTTATGTCGCTGTAGAACAATGAACATTCTTTTTGGCCAGTTTGTAAACAGTCAGCCATTCTTGCTTATCGCGTGACAATTTTTATTGGAATAACTGGTCGTCAGAATTACTTATTTTTGAAATAAAAAGTCACATATTCAAGAGCTTTTTTCTAACTTTCTTGACTAGTTTGAAGTGAAAGTGGCAAGTTGATTAAAGTCTCAAGCTAAACATGCTGAATTAGTGCCTATTACCACCAAAACATATTACCTGATCATTTATTGCCAGCTATGTGACAGAACTTGCACTGTGTATATTGCTGACAATATTTCCTACTTCTGGAAATGCTTTATTGGTTGGAGAACGCTTTGCAATGTCCCACGGTCGCGAAATGTACTAAATGCCAGTCTCTACTTATGCTGAACAACAAGTAAAATAATAAAATCTACAGGAAAATTTATTAAATCCATAATATTTCCAGTTTGAACAAATGATCACAGACTTGAAACATCAACTTTGTTTTTCTCTCCTCAGATGCTGCCTTTTCCAAAAACTCGCAGTACCTCTTATCCACAAACAGGAAAAGCCTACCCTTTGGCAATAAAACTCAAGTGTGAAGTTGTAATACTGAAGGTACAGTGTGCTTGCATCAGGCTACACCTAGAGTGCTGTGTTCAGTTCTCGGCATTGAGTCACAGAATCATAACATTTACAGCAAAGGAGGAAGCCATTCAGCCTGCAGTGTTTAAAGGGGTAATTTACCTAGGGTCTCTCCCTGTCTTTCCCCATGGCCCTGCAACTTTTTCCTTTTCAGATAATGATCTAATTTCCCTTTGGAAGACCACTGAGATATTCAGCAAGTGATAATAAAGCCAGCAAAAAGGACTAATGTCAGAGAACTGAATTGAGGGAGAGATACATTTGAATACTACAGCCACAAATTTGTGTGAATGACGTTGAACCTTGGAGCTAAACACAATAACAAAATAGCAAAGAAAACTTGAATCCTGAAAATTGGTAAGTTAAGCAACAACTGCAGAGTAAGAGGGGATTGATACACAGGGGCACAGACAATATTGAGAACCGATAGTTGAAAGTTACTCATAATAAATTATTCAATTAAAAATGATCCTCTGGTACGGCAACAGTAGCAAACTAATAGTTCTCAAGTTTAAGACTCTTCTTCTTTTTGCTAAGAAGATATCTTAAAACGCGTAAAGGTGGATAAATCCCCAGGACCTGATCAGGTGCACCCTACACTTTTGTGGGAAACTAAGTGGGCCCCTTGACGAGATATTTGTATCATAGATAGGCATAGGAGAGGTGTCGGAAGACTGGAGGTTGGCTAACGTGGTGCCACTATTTAAGAAAGATGGTAAGGAAAAGAAGGGAATTATAGCTTGGGGAGTTTGATAATCAGTGGTGGGCAAATTGTCGGCGGGGATCCTGAGGGAGAGGATTTGTGTGTGTTTGGAAAGGCAAGGACTAATTTGGGGTGGTCAACATGGCTTTGTGTGTAGGAAATCATGTCTCACTAACCTGAATGAGTTTGATGAAGGCAGAGCAGTGGATGTGATCTATGGACTTCAGCAAAGCATTCGACAAGGTTCCTCATGGTGTCCTGGTTAGCAAAGTTAACTCATATAGAATACAGGGAGAACTAGCTATGTGGATACAGAACTGGCTCAAAGGTATAAGTCAGAAGGTGGTGGAAGAGGATTGCTTTTCAGACTGGAGGCCTATGATCAGCAATGTGTCACAAGGATCAATGCTGGGTCCGCTGCTTTTTGTCATTTAAGTAAATGATTTGGATGTGAATGTAGGAGGTATGGTTAATAAGTCTGCAAATGACACCAAAATTGGAGGTATAGTAGATAGCGAAGTTTACCTCAGAGTATACCAGGACCTCGATCAGATGGGCCAAAGGGCTGAGGAGTGGCAGATGGAGTTTAATTTAGATGAATGTGAAGCGCTGCATTTTGGAAAAGGCAAATCAGGCAGGACTTGTATATTTAATGGTAAGGTCCTGGGGAGTGTTGCTGAACAAAGTGACTTTGGAGTCCAGGTTCATAGTTCCTTGAAAGTGGAGTCCCAGGCAGACAGGATAGTGAAGGAGGTGTTTGGTATGCTTACCTTTATTGGTCAGTACATTGAGTACAGGAGTAGGGAGGTCATGTTGCAGCTGTACAAGACATTGGTTAGGACAGTTTTGGAATACTACATTCAATTTTGGTCTCCCTGCTGTAGGAAGGATGTTGTGAAACTTGAAAGGGTTCAGAAAAGATTTACAAGGATGTTGCCAGGATTGGAGGGTTTGAGCTATATGGAGAAGCTGAATAGGCTAGAACTATTTTCCCTGAGGCTTCGGAGGCGGAGGGGGTGACCTTATGAGGTTTATAAAATCATGAGGCACAGGGATAGGGTGAAAAACCAAGGTATTTTTCACAGAGTGGGGGAGTCCAAAACTAGAGGGCGTTGCCCATCTCTGAGAGACAACAATACATACATTGACAAAGATACAGCAGGGACACTTAAGAGTTCTAAAAAAAACCACAATTAGTTTATTAAGTACTTAAAACAAATAACAACACACTTAATGACTAGAGATATCTCAACCACTGTCTTTCACTACCCTGATTTCTATAACTAAATCCAAACGTTATTACCCGGGAGGGTTTACAGCTGGCCAGGCTGAAACTCTGCTTGACGTGTTCATCACACCTCCTGACATAAGGCACTTCTTGCACAACGTTAATCTTCAAAGTCTTGCTGAACAAAAGGATTTCTTCAGGCTCTTTACACACAAGTCTCTTGCCAAGCATGTGCCTTGTTTGGAATTATCCATGTACATGACCAATCTTGAATATTTTGTCCAAACGTATTCCTTGTCTGGTAGAGACTGCCGTTCCTAACTTCTTGCAGTTTTAACTCTTAGCAGACCTGACTGATTCAGCATAATTCCATTCACATAACAGCCCATTGTTAGGCCTCGTATCAGTTCCTGTCATCTTCAGCCTTATCCAACAAGGGCATAGGCATAAGGTGAGAGGGGCAGGATTTAAAAGGGACACGAGAGGCAATTTTTTTCACACAGAGGGTGGTGCATGTATAGAATGAGCTGCCAGGGGAAGTGGTGGAGACTGGTATAATTACAACATTTAAAAGGCATCTGGACAGGTATATAAATAGGAAGGGTTTAGAGGGATATGGGCCAAATGCTGGCAAATGGGACTAGATTAATTTGGGATATCTGATTGGTATGGATGAGTTGTCCCAAAGGGTTTGCTGCCATGTTGTACAGCTCTATGACTCTCATGTTTTCTTAGGATTTCTTCATGTTTAAAATGCGAAGAATTTTTGTTTTCACTTAGAGGTGCCCTAAAAGCTATATCTTAAACGGGAACAAGTGCCAAAGAGCAATCCACATGACAAAGCATGTTATAAAGACAATAAACACAGAGCTCACCCCTGAAAATCTGCATTCCATTGAACACTCGATTCCCATGGTACGTACACATAAGTAAAGTTGACTAACACTGAACTCAGATTAACATAAAGTAAACATTATTGTACAGAAACTTTGTTAGCCATTAATTTAACAAACTGACTTCCTTTTTTAAAAGAAAAATCTTCATCGGTATTTCCAAACGACAGATTACAGATTTATTCTTAAAGAATTAAAATGCAAGAATGCTAGATTAATTTTATTTTTAAATTATCTATCTTCAACTTGTCTGGAAAGGTTTTTTTTTGTCAGTTTAACAAAAGCAAAAAGAAAACCCGCCTGCCCATTTGACATGCCATATTCCTATAAACTGAAAGAGGTATTTTGTTGACAGTATTTCAAAACTCGATTATATCTAAACTGATTCTCAACGTGCTCTCAATCTCAACATGAAATCTTTAACACAGTAAACATTGAAAGATTGCGACACATTTGACACAATGGTTGATTTTCCGAACATTTCAAAGTATGTAAATGACAAAGGATCCTCAGTTTGAATTTCATCAGATTATTTTGTAGTAGTACATTTCAAATGAAAGAAGTCATTCAGATAATCTGTGAACAAGGTTAGTGATAAAAATGACCAAGGTTAATTTGAACAATTTTCTTTTTGCTATGGTTGGGGGATGGGTGAATGCTGGAGAGAGAATCAAAGTCATTGGAAACAAGTTCAGTCATTGGAAGAAACGCATTTGTACATACTGTACTGGCTACGCTGCAGCAATTATATGGCCTCTAATTCCGCTGAATTTGCTTTCGCTTTGGTTGTGGTAGCCTTTAAACACAATACTTCAAAAATGATATCAGTGGTGTGATATAGATTTACTCAATGTTCAGGTGGGGGCTATGAGTGAGCCAGAGAGAGAACCAAACATTCAGAGCATCCACATTCTAACGTTTTTGAACTAATAACTACATGTTTCAGCATTAAAAAGCTTACACGTCCCTAAATCAATAGTTACGTTTATTCTCAAGTAAAGCAA